TGGCTTTTTTGGTCTTTTACGGCGCGTTGGGGTTCTTTTCTAAAGCAGGAGCCCACGGCTCGCGGGGAAACCCCCCGCCACGTGCCCCGCAACAGGGGGTCCAGCGCTGCGAGCGGCAGCGGGAAGGGAAAATAAGCGTCGAGAGGAGCTTTGGCAGAGGTTATTTGCAGGAGCCGTCAGCCCACGTGCGCTGGGGCGAAGTTTCCGCATCGGAGCATCCCGAAGGATGGACGTGCTGTCAGGAGGCTCTTCTGCATCCTCCCAGGGGACTCGCTCGAGCTCTTGACATTGTTATTGGGGTTGGGTTTTTGGTTTTGGTTTTGGGGTTTTTTTTCTTTCCCGCGGTTGGCGAGAGTTTTAAGACGGAAGAGAGAAGAAGCTGCTGTTGAAACGTTGTGAGGTTGTCCCGGTGTTCTCAGTCTGTCACTCGGAGGGGAGGATTTTTCCTCTTTTTTTTTTTTTTTTCTAAAAAAATATCTTTGTCCGGTCAAATTTGGGTTGGGATGGCATCTGACCCATCGGCGGTCGGAAACCTTTATATGTTCCTCTCTATTTTCTTTCTTTTATATATACATATATAGTGTATGTATATAGCGTTCACCTATACCTACATATATGTATGTATATACATAACCATATACATCTACAGTGTGGCTTTTTTAATTTCTTTTTTTTTTCCCTTTATTTTTCAAGAAAAGAAATGCTCAAATGGCAACGACAACTTAAAAAAATGTATTATTGTAAAGTTTATTTTTTTTAACGATGTCTATAATGGCAAAAATACAAAAAAAACCCAATAATAAACCAAGAACAACCAAGCGAGGAAGGAAGCGGCACGAGCTCCGCCGAGCATCCACCTGCGCCCGGGGCTGCATCCCTGGCTCGGGGGGGGGGGGGGGGGAAATGGGGGCTCTTTTGCTGCAGAAACACAGGGATTTGGGTCAGTCTAAATATTTCGCAATGCTGCCAACAATTCCCTGACTGTTTTGCTCCGGGAGACAAGCAAACAAGCAAACATTTCAAAGGAGCTGACTCGTTCCTGTGTGGCAGGATTGGGTTTTGGGTTTTTTTTTTTATGTGCAATAACTTTGTTTTTGAAAACACCATCCCCTTTCCTTAATGTCTCTATTTTTATTTTTATTTTTTCATTTTATTTTCCCAAGCAACATGACAGCGCTTAAAACCGAACTGAAACATTGAGATTTGGGTCACACAAAACATCGAGTTTTTCGAGTCAGGTGAAGATAATTTTTTTTATTTATTTTATTATTTTTTTTCTCCCCCTCTTTACTGCTCGTGCCAAGGAGCCGAAACGTCAACCCCCCTCCAACTCTGGCCCCGGAAAATGGGATGTCAGGGGGCATCTTGGGGACCTGGGGATGTCAAAATCTGAGCTGAAGGAGATGCTGGGCTGTTTGCGGGGAGCCGGGGGCTGGTGGATAGGGGAGGGAGGGAGAGATGTTCCCTTTTGCAGCGCGGCAAAGAAAAAAAAAAAGAAAAAAAAAAAAAAAAAAACGCGTTTGATGTGGAAGTTGGCGCGGGGAAAATAAACATGTCACGTCTCTCGCAGGAGTCGCGTTGCAAACCCAGGCTGCTCTTTACCATATTCTCTCCTCTAACAGCCAGGAAAATGACAGCTCTGAAACAGAGAGCCAGATGTGCTCGGCAGTTTGGCACCGACAAAAAAAAAAAAAAAAAAGCAAAAAAAAAAGCATCTAGGCGCAAAGGGCGGCGTTGGAGGGGCTTCTCCGGCCAATTTCGGGGTCCCTCGTGTGTGGGGTGAGCCGAAATCCCGGCTGCCCTGACTCCGCTGCTCCCGGCTGTCCTTCTGCTTCAGCCCGGGGTTCAAAGTTCCAGCGGAGGTGCATGGACCCCCTCGGCGCCGGCACTGTGTTTCTGTAGGAAAGAGGCTGTAAAATAAGAGTGCAGATTGCTCTCCTTGGTGATGGTTCCATTTCCTCCTTCCCTGAGAAGGCTGGGAACGCTCGAGGCTGTTCTGGAAGGCGTATGAACTCCTTTTGCTGGGAAAGGTCAGGGAGAAACATCTCCATCCAGGAGCTGATGCCACGTCTGCTGTCGGCCGGGTACCTGCACCCGCGGGAGATGTCCATCCCGCTCCCCGGAGCTCCTCGGGTCTTCCAGCTGTGGAGGCATCAGCAGAAAGCAAAGAGCTTCCGATGAACCCGAGTTAAGGATCTCCCCATCGCTCCCGCGGGCGTTTCCGCAGTGCCGTGCCCTCCCCGAGCGCCTGGGGCTGTCCCGGCGGGGCGAGAGGCACGGCAGCGCCTGGAGCTGCTGTGTCTGGACCACCCCCAATCCCAGCTGTACCCCCCGACTTCCCGGCGGGGTCCTCAGCGCCCAGATTGTGCCGGAGCTGCTGAATAGTCATCCGTTTGGGATGAAGGCATTATCCGTGGTGATGGGCACGGCGCCTTCATCCAGGCGCTTCATCCCTCGGGCTGCTGCGGGCGAAGTTCTTCGAGGTGGGAGCGCTGATCCTGGGGCTTGGGGATGCTGAGGCTCGAGATGCGAAGTCCCGATGAGCGATGCCCCCCAAAGCTTTACCGAATCTTCCTCTCCAAACACAAAGCCTTTCCTGGAAGGAGGGCGCGGGGATGAAGATGCTCTCCACTCGTCAAGCGGCGGAAGGAGAAATCGCTCCGGAGGACGCGGCGGAGCTGATGCAGCGTGCTGAATCGCTGCCTGATGCGTACGGGGGTTTCGTTTGCACGGTGGCGCTTTGGGAACGGTCCTTTTTTGAGGAGCAGCACAAACGGAGCCGTGTGGGTTCGGGGAGGGGGGAAGGTGTGTGCAGCCCCTCTCAGCTGGAGCCAAACCTCATCTCGTCTGGATTTGGAGAGACCTCTGGGGTGTTCGGAGACCTCGCACAGGCTCTCCCGGCGCTGCACTGCCAACCGCCGCACGGACAGTCCTGCTCCGAACCGCCGCAGCCCTCCTCCGGGCAAACCCTGGCTGCGGTAGGGATGGGGCCATCTGCCAGACACTGGGCTGCGGGCAGCGGAGATGCTCTGGTGGGTTTTGGCTATTGGCAGCTTCGGCATAACCGGAGGAATAGAAACCAGCTGGCAAACTCCACCCTGAGAAGCCGTATGGACCCGGTGCCTTCCAGTTGTCCCAGCTGAGCGCGGGGTCCAGCGGCTCCAGGACTTGCACCTCCCCAGGGGCTGGAAAGCGCGTGGGACCGGGGCTGCCCGCACACAGGGGATTTTCCTTCTTTTTTCCCTCTGCTAAGCCAGATACGCAAGCAAGATGTTGCAAGGAGGTGTCTGCCACGACTTCCCAACTCCTGGGGAATACGCTAAGCCACACATCCCACGGGCAGCCAGTGGGCACTGAGCCCGTCCCTGCCCGACTGCGGTACCCCTCACCCGTGCCCATTCCCGCTCTCCCTTCACTCTGACTCACAAACAAAAAAAAAAAAAAAAAAGAGAGAGGGATTAAAAGCGGTTCGTTTCTCTAAGAGCGAGTTTTCCGGTGGGCTGGTTTGGGGTTTGCTCACCCGTCGGATTTTGGCCCATCTCTCCCTGCAACAGCGGCTGCCGCGGCACCGAGAGGCTTTTCCGACATGAGAGGTGATTTGAAAATAGATGGGATGGCACCTTTGCCCTCTGTAATTAGTCTGATGTTCTCCTTTAGGCTTTAATAAGCCCCCGAGCCAGCATGGTCTGGCAGGTGTCATCTTCCTCCTCCCTCTTTTTAATTCTCCGTTAAATAAGTTATCACCTCGGGGCACTCCTCACACCTCCAGGTTTCCCACAAGCAGATGCTTTTGCCTCATTAACTTTCCCGAGCTGCTCCACTTCACAAGAAATATCTTTTTTTTTTCTTTTTTTTTTTTCCTCTTCTTTTTTTCTTCCCCCATTGCGCTGTGTTTAATTTTAAAGGCATCAAAATAACGCCATACCGGCCACGTGGCGATGAGCGGAGCTGCGGGTCGGGGACGGGGATGCGTGCGGTGCCGGGATGCTCAAGTTTAGAAACCTCACGATCCTCAAGCCCAGAAGTTCCCTTGATGCTGTTCCAGCGGGGAGAGAAAAAGAAAGAGGAGAACGTAGGAAACTGGTCCCTTTTGTTAAATAGGAGCAATTCCAGTGAGATCCCAACCGCCTCCTCTAATCATCGTTAGCTGGGATAATCTCTCCAGAGGAGGAAGCCAAGCAGGAGCCTTGGTGAGGTCTCTGACAAGGAAAGGAAACCAGAATTGATTTCTTTTCTTATCTTTAATATTCTAAGTGAAGCTCTGGAGACCCTCATAGGTCCTGGGGCGCCCCGTGGGATTTAAAGGATTTGGGGCAGAGGGATGTCACGCAGGAGGAGAACCGGGACCCTCAGCGTCGGTCTGGGGGAACGGCTGGAGAGGTGCTTTGGGGGGTGGCAGAGGGGGGCTCTGTCCCAAACCTGCCGGGGCTGGGGACACCAGGGAGGCAAAAGGGAGAGTGGAGTTGCCCAGGCCGGCTGCAGCCACTGTCCCCGAGGAGAAGAAGGGCTCAGGGGGCGCCCAAGAAGCCCCCCGAGCTCACGGGGCCGGCTTGAAAGCCAAATAATACTGAGGGGCTGGGAGTAAAATATGAAACCCATTTGTAACAAATGAAATTCTATCCATAAAGGAAGAAAGCAAAAAAAAAAAAAAAAAAAAAAGAAAGTTTATTTCAGTGACACCCCCTGATCTCGTGGGGCAATTAAGGAGGTGGCTAACGAGCGGTGGTGTGGGGCTTTGCCCCAAGTCGTCTCAGCTGCAGCGTCTCCCCGCGGGGAGCGGGGCTGTAGGATCAGCCGTGTTTCTCTCAATTACCGCCCGAATGGCCTGGTTCCAGCAACAATTAGCAGCCTCCAAGGGACTCCTGTGTCCTGCTACACTTCCCTAATATAATTACCGCAGTAAATGAACAATGAATTAAATCAAGGAGAAAGGCAGGAGGAGACACCAGTTGCGTGTGGCTGCTCAGGGGTCACAGTGCTGTCTCTCCAGAGGGGAGGAAGCCTCCTGGCTTGCTCAAGGCTTTTCTTTTTTTGACTCTTTTTCTTCGGGAAAGGGATGGCGAGAAAAATCCCAGCTCCGGTGTGAAAAGGTGTGGGTAAAACCAAGGTGGGTCCCTGCAGCATCGCCCTGCCGCAGGTGCAGCGCGAGCTCCTCTGGAGACCGCGGAGCCGCTCGAGGGATGCAGCAGCCTCTGTGCCCAGAGGTGATTTCCAAATGTGCGTTATGATCAGAAACAAAATCCATGGCGGGAGAGAGACCCCGGCACGGGGAGAGCCGCCCGGGCTGCCTGCCATGGGGTGGGGAGCTGGGGCTCCGAGCCGGCGGTGGACGGAGGGACACGTCGCACCTCTGCTGTGAGACCTTATGGAAGTTGGTTTTATTTATTTTAAAGCAGTTTTCACTCGCTCACAGCCACGTGCTCCCCCAGCAAAGCGCCATCCCAGCATCTTCAACGCGCTGGTACCCAGAGAGCCCCCAGTGGAGCCAAGAAGAGGGGGCGCTCCCTCCCCTTGGGCTGCAGCTTCGTGAGA